CTCCAAGAGCATTTTGACATTCAATTATCCTTTCGTTCTTTTTCCCTTTTTACAGGTTGATAATTTCATTTCAAATGAAAGGTATTGCTTTTCTATATTTTGTGAATATATAGTTTTTAATATTTGGTTATTTGTAATTAAATTTTAATAATTGATATTGACCAAAACTAAGAAATCTCATGCCAATAGTAATAGAAACAATTTCTTAAATATTTTGTGCATGTCTTTGTCTCTTCTTACAAGTGGAAGATTACAAGCACTATATAATTGATGACAAATAAATAATTTTTAGACCTTCGCTACCTCCCGTGTGAGTATGATTAGTGTCGAATCCACAAAACTAATGTTGAGAATGTTATATGTTATTACCACTTTCATTTAACACACATAGAACATAACTACACTCCATATCACTTGCTCCCCCCACCACCTTTACTTCTCTTTCCCCTACTTATCACTCACTCTTTTTTGGTTTTGCAAATTTTAAGTCTTTTAATATTTTTGTTTATTGTTACCCGATTTTAAAATTGACCTCAAGTGCTCCTTATCTCTTTCTCTTCTTTCTCTCACATCGTCAAGTCACAAATTCCCTATTTCCCTCTAGTCCTTATGTTCCCTCATCATCAGCTCCTCCCTTACCTCCTCTTACTTCCTATTCTTCTCTCCGTTTCACTCATCTATTATGGTCTTGATAGTCAGTTCGTCCTAATTGCTCCCTCACCCTTCCTCGCACCTTTTTACTATCTCATATATATATATATATATATATATATATATATATATATATATATATATATATATATATATATATCTTACATGGTCATGGGTATTAAGATATTCTCTTTTATAATTTATATTTTTGTCATGTCATTTCAAAGATATTATGTTCTATAACGGTCTCCTAAAAGAGCTTTAATTGTCATGACTCTTCTGTGCCTTGTATGAATTGTATCCTTGAGGACCTCGATCATTCTTTATCATCTTAGCCATCACATAGTCATTTTTTTTGGCTCTCTTTCTTATTCCCCTGTCATTCCTTCATTCTCTCCCTTTACCCTTTCTCTTGATCCTTATTCTTCTTCTTCTCTCTCTCTATATAACACACACACTCATTAATGGTTTTAACATTTTTAGTAATCGTAGTCCTACGTGCCCCCTCCCCTCTTCTCAATGAAATGAAAACCCCTTGTATGGCGTGGAAATTGAACTGAATTCACGTTAAATATTAAATGCCCCAATTCAGAACAAAATTTCAGTCTAAGTGCATAAATAAACATTACCAAAACCCCATAATTCAAATCCACCAAAATAAATACCAAAAAAAGAAACATGAACAATGGACTAAACATAATTTACAAAAGTAAGATACTTGCCAAAGGATTCAAGGATACCGAAAATTGAATGCCTTGGAGGATCAAGAAACTCACTTAATGCTGCTCTTTCTATCGCTGTTAGCCTTCTCACTTTAGCTCGGAACCTTTTCACCTTGGCTTTCTTTCACTTTCCATCTTCCCTGGTTATTCTCTTCACGAACAAAGCAAAAATCATCGGAAAAAAAAGTCAAAATTTGATTTTCACATGAAAATAAAATTTAGCAAAATAAGCAATAACCCACAACGTAATTAGAACAAAAATCTAGATAATGTGATCTAAGAGAGAGAGAAGGGGATACCATCAAGGCTAACAGAAGGGTGAGTAATGTCGAAAAGTTTTTACAGGATTCGATAGTCTTATGGAAAGCTTATTCAACCCCAGCGATATGGCCTTCCTTAAGCGTTGATCCGATTGCATATCATACATCAATTGATTGAACAAAATAATTACAATTTTAAAGAGGAAATATGTGTAGTGCATAGATGAGTAATTACCAGCAGTATTTCCAATTTAATAGTAGCAAACCTGAAAATATACGGTATAAATCATTTTCACTCATTTGGGTTAATCTACAAGTCACATTTAATGGTAGAAGATAATGGAATTTGTTGTATCACACCATCAAATGCTTGTATTCTCAAGTCTTTATAGACACTTAGTTGAGAAATCTATAAATCAATTGACCACAAGAGATAAAACATACAATCATAATCTATTTTCAGTGCAATACACTTAAGGTTTCAATGTAGCTATAATATAAATAACAAACATTCTCATTCAAATCAAGAGATCAATCAGTAAATGCTTCAGCAAAAACAAAATGAGGATAGCTTCCAAAAAATCAATAATACCAAAAAAATAAGAAGACCAAAAATACAGCAAATTACCTTTTTCCATGGACCTTGTTTCGATGTTGATTGGGATGAAAAGTCAGCCTGCATATACCAAAACCTATAAGTATATCAATCTAGAAATGCAAAAAAGATATAGAACTTCAACAACACTACAACGAGGTGAGAGCACCTCGTCAAACTTGTCAAAATTTATGTATGTTTAAATGGCCATGAACAAATTTATCAAGATTACAGGTGTCATAGTTGCATACTATAGCTATCAAAAGGGTTTAAATTTACCACATGAAGGGGCCTTCAGTATGGCACATCCTGATCAGAATTGATAGTAGCCTTGATTCCCCGGTAAAAGAAGTACTGCGTCTTCCTTTCTCCCCACCCCCTTGAAAAAACAACTTATAAGCAAGACATAATGCATATAAATGAATAGGCCTATCCGTAAAGTAAAGCACACAAGCAATTAAACTCAATAAAATTAACACATTTCACTTGATGTATTCAATGTCAGCATATATGAGAGTAAAATTAAACAGCCAGACATATTAGACATTTGTTCTAAACACGAAGCATGTGCTCTCTACAATATCTAATTAATCACATTTTCATCTCATATTACAGGTTAGTAGGCTATCACAATTCCTATCTACAACAAATTAAAGGTGGAGAAACTGTAGCAGCCTTCCACAATGCTGCTTCAAAACCTGAATGGCTGGCATGTAAAGGGAATTTCCTTTGGGAAATGATCATGTAACGGAACAACACAATGCTATGACTATTTTCAAAGAGAAAGGAACCAGATAATAGAGAGATTGATTCAACATTTAAGATACAACCTTCAGAAATACATAGTTAGTAGAACTTGTGTGCAAAACCCTACAAGTGGGAAGATCAATCCTACTATGACTTAAGGAAAACAACTCTATAGTTGCAAATTAGGCATAAAACCTTCTGAACTTAAGCATGGGAAACCCAAAATATATATAAAAAAATTAAAACATACATTAATTTTAGAAAGCAATATAATTAAAGCCCTGCCTAAAGTGAGTAAAGCATAGTAAATGAGCCTAGGTATAGATAGTTATGCCAGAATGTGACCCAAAACTTTAAAGGAAGAATTCCTGCAGAAAATATCTTACCAAAAGTAGGGGAGTCTTAGCAAGAATGCATCCCTTACATTGCCTTTCTGCGCTTAGAAACGGTTTCAAGCTCACCCGAAACAGACAGGTTGAAATAGACGGTTGAAATACTCACCGCTTGAAATAGAAGGTTGCTCTAACCCTTCAACCCAAACACCTCTATTTTTACCTTCTTCATCTAGTTTACCACAACTAAAGCTCGCCGAAACTAATACCATGGCATCTCAATAGAGAAAACAGGTCCTCTAAACATTAAAGATTCCTTACGTATCAGATCCTATTTCCAAGAATGCCTCTAGATCATACAAAAAGTTACATGCAACGTACAAGCACAGAAGAAGAAAAAAAAAAAAGCATAACACCGTAAAAATACACAGAACTCAAACTCAGATCAAACTATAAAAACCAGTTAGTAACATTCGATACCTTCTTTCCACGAATAACAGCCCCAGGTTAATAACCATGTACTTAGTTCCACTAAGGTGCAACCCAGTCGATGCAAGGGTATTGGGCTCCTTAAAATACTTCACAACAACAAATATTTCATTTGGCTTAAATTGTAATTCCATGAAAAAAAAACTGCATCAAAATTATGTCCAATCCCATAACATCAAAGGGCATAAACATATAAGAGAATAATAGTGAACAACTTACCTTTTCATCGCTTTTAATCAAAATTTGCAACTACAAATTACACAAAAATATCATTTATATCACTATATGTCTATATGTATGTAATTACCCATGAATACATCAATGATACAAAGCTTATAAGATCACGCAATTCCTCCACCCTGCTTATAAGATCACACAATTCCTCCACCTTGCTTATAAGATAATATAATTTCATCCCAAATATTTTAATTGTATTAACACAAAAAAAACCAACAACAATTCTTTGAAGCAATTAAAAAGCACCGTAATCAAAACCTAAAGCACTATCAAATCAAATGAACAACACTGAAAACAAAATCAAAGCAAACCCATTAAAATTATCATCAAAACAAAATGACCCAGAAAAGTAAAACGTCGGATTAATAAAAAAACAATCATACCCACATTAAACTAAACCCAAATTTAATCCAAAAAATCCACAAGATCATCAAAGAAAAAGCATACAATACAAGAGGAGGGAAGGTAGAACTGTGAGCCCAAACACTTCCATGTTTACCTTTGTTTTTTTGGTTTGGGCTAGTCTTTTGTATTTTTGCAGTTTAGCCAGTTATCCATAAGCATTCTTCACTTCGATTCAACACGAAGATGGTTTTATTTATCGTGATGGTTTTAGTTATCGTCATTGCACTTCCTGTCGGGACAGAAGGCCAAAAGTAGGGGTTTACATACATATGTGATAAGAATCATTGAGTCTAGGTTCTAAATTTCTAGGAATTTTGTTCTAAAAGCTATGCTACAGATGGTTAAGTATGATGTTCTAAAAGATGTTGCATATGTTCTAAAAAGTTCTTCTAATGTCCTAAATTTTAAAGTGTTCACACATAAGTATAGTATTGTCATCGGATATATATATATATATATATATATATATATATATATATATATATATATATATATATATATATATATATATATATATATATAACACTGATAACAATAATGGGTAATCCTATTTCAATTACAAGTCTTAAACATACATCATGATTATCATTATTCAATTAAAAACAAATGATTGGTCATACAATTAAAGTACAACAAATTAAACTTGGATCACCACAAATTGATCGAAGAATTATTAGTAAAGGCGCTTGCACATGAGAAAACCGTTGCTTAATGGTAAATGGCATAATTCTACTTGAGTATTTTGTGATATTTCCTTAGTGAAGTTGAGACATTGTTGCCTAAAATATCTCTTGTTTTCTAGCACATCTTGCTCTTGTTTAGCCACATACCCTTCGCATAGGGTGTTACTAAAACAAATTAACCCTCCAATCTTTACCAGCTTCACTAATCTCTTATAGTAATCAATGTAATTATTGGTCTGAGCTTCATTAATTATTGCAAAATCAAAGCTTCCCAAGTTTAATTTCTGCATAAGAAAACACAGTAATTGACAAGTTAAAATCAACTTGAAGTAATATATTTACATATTTACATACAGTACAATTTTGTATAATAATACTCTGGTAATATTTGTAGAATTAAAAATTACATATAAGAGACATATAACTCGAACTACAATATATTATAATTTGAAATTGTACATTGAAATTAATTAATTAATTAATCCCTACACCTTAAAAATATAAATTATGTGAAAATAACAGACCTATACTATTTCTTTACAATTACTATTAAAAGAGAAGTTCATAAAATCATATATACGTGAAAGGATAACGTGACAATAAATTTAGGACAGAGGGAGTATTTAACTATTTAGGATAGTTGCTTGTAGATGAGTGCTTACATCTTTGGTAAATTGATCAAGAATGGGAAGCGCTTCGGAATCAATGAAGTTGATTTTGTGCTCAACTCCTGCTTTCTTTATGATAGGTAAACCAAGTTCATAGGACTTTGCATATGGACTTATGGCTAGAATCTGCGTATGATCATAAAGAAATTGGTATCATAATTAATCGCATTAATTATTCATACGAAATTGTAATTTTATTGGATTTTGCTTGGTTTAGTTAAATTAAATTACCTCGCCATCTTTTGGAATAGAGAGAGCAGTTAAGAGTGTTATGTATCCAGTAGAAACTCCAATTTCAATCACCATTTTTGCATTCACTAGCTTTAAGAGCATGCCTATATATTGTCCACCAAGTGGACACGTAATACCAACATTGTCTCTGAAATTAATTCAATTCAATAAAACCGTAAAATACGTACAAGGTCAAATATGTAACATGTTACTTTCTTCGCTGTTTGACTTTTGGTAGTGAAAGGATCTAGACGATAATAAAATATTGGTAAATCAAAATTATAATAGGAAGACAATTAAAGTAGGGTTGACGTAAATTAAAATCTATGACAATTGATTTGGAACAGAAGTAGTATTCCTAATTTCGTAACGAGTACTTACAAAGGAGGGTTATTATTGTTAGAAGTAGTGACATCTCTCAATTCCTTTAATGGTGCTGGCTCCGTTGGATATACAGTGGTCTCCAAAATATACTGCCCAAATGCCCATCATCCATTTTATTAAAACAATATATTGTTATAAATTTTAGTCAAAAAATACTACCATTTGATAATTAACAAGACATAAGTTTTATTTTAAAAAAAAAATAAATAAATAAATAAAAAATTGCCTAATGTCTACGCTATTACTCGTACCTTGTATAGCTCGTTGCTTTGCAGCAGTGATTCGTTTGCAATTGATGATGGCTCCATAGAGGCCATAGCTATTTTACTTTCAAATTTTCGCGGTGTTTCGAAGCCTTTATAAGAGATTATTACCTTGAAAAAATTTATAAATTCCAAACAAAACTTAGATGAAAATTCTATTACAATGATAGCAAGGGAAAATAAGCAAAAATATTTTAAACAACTTTTACAACTAATGTTGTGAATTATATTACTACAGTATAATTATTTAAATAAAATTATTAGTAGAAATATCATGCAAATAATTTAATTCAACTAATCAAATTTTAAAAACCCAACTTACATGAATAAAATTTGGAGAATTATATAAACCTAATCAAGAGCACAAACCTTTTGGTGAAAATAAATGAATGCCTTTCTTGAGCAATATATGAATGTATCAACTAATTTAAGTTGTGAAGATTGGATTTATTAGTGGTAAATTTATACACTAAATTTTTGGACTGACCCTTCTTCAAGGTCAAACAAACGACTAGAGATTTAAAAGTCAAGGCTTATAAAATATTGTAACCTCTTATGGATTCTTGACTTGGTCAGAATAATGACTTCTGACTTGGGATTAATCTTAATTCAAATCTTAAATTGTACGTTTTACATTCGATCAAAATAAATGAATACTACTATCAGTCATTTTGCAAGTTCACTTTATAACGACGCATAAATTATTTGCAATTACTCGTATATATTCGGTTCACCTTATTTTCACTTATTAAAAAATAAATAACTAAGGGAAAATAATATAGATTAATGTGAGTTGATAAGGTCAACTTTTCGATCAATATACAGCTAAAAAAGGTTCTAACAGGTTTAAAAGAATTCATACAAAATAAAATAAGTTTAGATAAGTAAAAAAATAGATTTCCTAAAAAAACAATTTTAAAAAAAATTAAAAAAAAAAAAAAAAAAAAAAAAAAAAAAAAAAAAAAAAACAATAGAACACTACTCTAATACAAGTATCAAAACTATTTATTAGTCCGTATTTTCATTGTCATTTAGACCTGTTCTCATCAGCTTATTTTCAGTTCACTTCAGCTCCAATTAGTTCACTTCCTAATTTCTTTTTCTCATAAATATTTAGTTCAATTCAGTTCTGCTCCAATTAATTTAGTTTAATTCAGCTCAATAAATCAGAACAGTCCCTTAAACGGAAATCAACCATTTATTACTCTTAAATCTTGGAATAATACAAACTATGTGTGAAATTATGGAGTAAAACGGATATTTATTAGAGGTCAATTTTATAATGCGTTGATTTCAAATGTGGCGGGCTTGAAGTAGACGTTTGTTTGTGAAAAAACTCAGAGTACAAGATACCAATTTCGTTTTCTTCAAAAAAAAAAAGATACCAATTTCGTCACCTAAGTAACTTATTTTCTTCTATCTTAAGACTTAAATAGGTATTAATGTAGTATAGATTTATAGCTGGTAAATGTTCTTGGAGCAGAAAGATAAGTCCTGAGCAAAAATGGCAATTTAAAGTACTCTCTCTACCTATATTTGTTCGTCTTGTTTTAAGTACGTCTAAAAAGATCGCAACTTTAGTCTCACAAAAATGAATAATTTGTCAATTACTACCGCAAGTTAATACCACTTCGTAAATTACTACCGCAAATTAAAAAAGTCGTGAATTACTACCGCAAAAAATTTTAAGATGTTTCGATTACTACCAAACCCCCATTAAACTCAACTATGACGTCATTATATCCCTTTAACCCATTTGACCATGGTTAAGGGCTTTAAGTAGCCCCAAAAAAAAAATGGGTTAGGGATATAATTACGTCATGGTTAAGGGCTTTAACACATATTTGACCATGGTTAAGAGCTTTAACCATGGGTGAAAGTGATATAATGACGTCATAGTTGGATTTAATGGGAGTTTGGTAGTAATCGCAACATCTTAAAATTTTTTACGGTGTTAATTCACAACTTTTTTAATTTGCGGTAGTAATTTACAAAGTAGTATTAACTTGCGGTAGTAATTGGCAAATTTTCCCACAAAAATTGCTTTATGTCATCACTCCACTCTTTCATCAATTTCACTCGAACAAAACTTACTAAAGTAAAACAATGTTATGGGGCAAACAATTAGAAACTTTCTTCTATCTTAAATTTTACTCGGATATAATAGTAATAAAATTTAAGCGAGCAAGTTCCCTAATGATTTAACTAAAAAAAAAAAAAAGTTCCCTCATGAGAAAAGTGAACATAACAGGCTCTCCAGATTCCTTTGCTTTTGTCAAAAAAAAAAAAAAAAAAAAAAAAAAAAACAGGCTCTCCAGAAACCCTTAGCTTATAAAAATATCTAATTATAGACTAGATTAATTAATAATTAAAAGTAGAGACGTAAAAAGACCAAAATCAAATGCGGTCTATTATTGAGAATGAAGGTAATAAAACAGCACAAACAATACTTACACAAAATTGTTCCAATGTAACAATGTTCTCTCACACTTACCTGTATTGAAGTATTCTATACAAATGAAATATCATCGATCTTAAGTAAAGATGCTGCAAAGAATTCGTAATTTTTTTTGGCAAAACTAGTATAACTCAAGAAATACCACTTACAAGGTCGATTCGGTCAAGTGTGGCTTATAAAACATGCATATGGAAGTTCTGCTTCACAGTATAAATATCAAGAGAAGACACTCTAGAACATGAATTGTATACATACCTGTTGAATAGCTATGTACAGTATATGATTCTAAGTCACTCAATGGCTATTTAGCGATTTCTCCGTAAAGAATGCAGCTGCGCAGTTAATGTCTCAAAATCAGGAAGCTTGGGATGAACATGGCTGGGATTTTTTGCAGAGTTTTCTCTAGAAGGAGCTTTTTCATTGAAATTCGATGTCTCAGAAACATCAGGACGTTTCGGAGTTACTGGTTTTTCTGAAACTGACGAAGATGTACTTATGACATCCTCAGATGATTTCGCAGCCACTTTCTGGTCATCATCCCGATTTGATTGGCCGATGATCCTAGAGCTGGATGATTCAGTATTATAGGAACCTGAAGACCTCCTCGTCTTTTCTGTATCTGATGCATTAGACCTGGCAACAGTTCTGGGAGCAGAAGCTTTAGTTCTCCGAGATAGTCCAGCACCTAGAAATGTTTTGCTCACAACAGGTTTAGGAGCATCCTCCTCAGAGCTGCTGTCACCAGAATCAAAATACCTTGGTGAACTTTTCAAACTAGTTTTACTTGTGTTTCCATCAATCATACTTCTTGCTCTATATTCCCCCCAGCACTGTCTGCATCCTTCCTTGTAATTATCATCTCATTATCATCACTAGATGAATCATAATTTGTATGGAGCCCACTCATTTTCATAGGCACCTGTTTGTTGTCTATTTGACTAGAGGATGATTGAGATTCATAAGTAGAAGCTCTCTCACTAGAACCAAAAGTTTTACTTAGGGATGCGTTGGCAGATTTTGAAGGAGATGAAGCATCAGCTAATCTACCTTTTGGCATGTGCCCGTGAGCCCTATTTCGACGTCCACCAGGCAATAATCCTAGGTTTAACCCCATACCACCATCAGGGGCAGGTTGGGTTTCATATTCAACCTCAGAATCAAGATTCCGTGACTCTGAATGTCTCAAGGATTGCAATGATTTCTGAGGCCAACCTTCATAAGATACATCATAATCAGACCGGCTTTTGAAGCCAGTTGACAATGCTGAAGAACTATTCCCATACAATGAATCTGAAGAACCAATATATTGTTTTCCCTCCATATGATTACTGTTCATGGAACAATCCGTGGTTCCCTTTTCTACATTTGATGATCTCAGCTCAAGATGGGGGTCTGCACCAGGCATCTGGTTATCATAGCTAGGAACCCCAGGGTCAAATTTATCTTTCTGCAGCTCTTCCTCATTCCCCGAACTTGCCCCATCAGAATCATCAAAATTAAGAGACATGGGTTCAGTTAATTTTGAATATATTGGAGATCTTCTAAAACTTTCCGAAAGTTCAGGTTCAAAGTAATGATTGTCTTGGTTTATAGAGGAACCTATACGTGTAGGTTCAGCAGGAGCACGAAAATTGTGTTCCTCAATAGGATTCAAAACACTTTTATCATCATCATCATCAGAGCCAGATTCATCAAAAAACACTTCAGAATTAGTATGAATTTCCTTTTCATCAAGACCCATCCCACTGGTACTGTGGTCCATCCCAACAAAAACATCATTCCCAGAGTCAAATATATTTTCCTCTCTATGATTTGATTTGAAAGTTGTGTCTTCTTCATCAAATGTATAAGTACTTCGAGCATGCCAATCTTCTTGGTCATCAGTTTTCCTACTGAAACTACCTAAGTAGCCATCACCTGAATCATGCTTCTTGTTATCGTAATTCATATTTGAAAAGACACTATACTCGTCTTCAAAAACACTGGACTGAGATTGAAAATTTCTGGAGTGATCCTTCCTTTCAACTGTCTCTTCATGAAAAGGGTGCTCAGAAGACTCAATTTCATACTCGTCTTCAGGTTTGTTGGTAATAGGAGTAGATTCAGGGTCTCTTGTATGCCTTCTACTGTTTTTATTCTCGGTAAAATCTTGTTTTTCGGCCTCATACTGCCCTCCATATTGAGTGTAGTCTTTGTTCAAATTTATGGCATCACCTCCCACTTTCATGTTACCTTGCCTATATGAATCTTCTTGGTCCAGCATTCTTGGACTCTTCTGATTAAATGAACCACTGGTTGAATTTCTGTGCACATGATTCTGTTGCAGCCCACTGCCAGCACTGTGATGGTGGTCATCACTCATAACATTGCTACGTCTAGCAAGTTCTGCAGCAGCCCTAGCAGCGTAGCTTGCCATTTCTGCAGATTCAGCAGCAGCATGAGCAGCAGCAGTTGCATCCTTGAATTCCATGTTCCAATTTTGCCTGCCAGTCCCAAAAGTACTTTCAGCAGTTCCAGATGACTGACTGAATTTCTTCTTCTCAGAGGAGCTCTCTGCAAACATAAAAATTTATAGCATGTCAATGACACATATTAGTAGCACAGCATTTAAACTACAATACAAACATCAAGAAGTAAATTTAGTCACCTGAAGGTCTAGGATCAGAATGAGGAATGGAAGATGGAGGAACTGAATCGCTACGTGTATGAGCCATGCTTTGAGAAGAAGTCCCTGGTCTTACTTTATCGCGAGGATGATTTTCCTCAAGGTCGTCAGCAAGCTCATAGTTTAGGGGTTGCATTTGTATTTTACTGCCCTCCATAGATTGTGCAACTGCTACCTTCTGCATAAAAGTTTGGTCAGGAAACCAACCTTAGGGAATTTCCAGCAATACATGGGACATAGTGTTGAAAAATATTCCCAACGTTTCTACTATTTACAATCTTCATTCAATTCACTACATTTGTTGTTTAC